GCTACTTTGAAAACACAGCAGACAGGCGAGCACGTCGAAGGAGCTACTTGCAGATTGATTTCCTTGCTTTGATAGCTACTTGGCATGGCAAAGTTTGGATCCATTCTATTTTCAAATTGAAATTTATACAGAAATGAGAAAAACCACCACACCCAGTGATGAATTAATAATAGCTGCCAACTAGCTGCAAGAACCATTATATTCATAATGCTTCCCAATGCTGGTCGCATTGCCTGCGAAAGAGAATTTGTCCTTAAGCTGCTTATTTTCAAACTACATGTGAAGACAACAAATTGTATGGCATGTTTATCCAATAAGGCATAGCAAGGAAACTAAAGAATCAGATGGGAGGGAGTGAAAAGAAATAGAAATTTAACAGCCAGCCAGCCAGCCCAAAATAAAACAGGCAAGATTAGGAGACACATGTACAATTCTCCACGGTCCCTAAAGTCTCTAGCGAAAAGGTAGAAATGAACTAATTTATTAGTAAAATCACATCAGGGGCAGTAATTTCATGTTAGTGAATTTACATGTAATAACATTAGGCTCCCAACCTCCATTTCACCAGTGTGGCCCTCTCCGATGATGAATGAGGCGCCTAAAGAAAGATGATAGTTTGATTGTTTTCACAGCAAACAGATCAGCATTTTAATTTCTTGCCTCTGTGTTTATTGCTTATTCGGCCCCTTGCTCGGCTTGTAAAAACTTGGCTAAATGGAAATGAATAAATGTAATTACTGCGGGTGACAGTGGTAATCTGTGTGGGTTTTTCATATTGGCTTTGCCAGCGTTAATCTAATCACCGGAGAATACATGTCACCGCACAAATGCTCTGACAGAAAGCAGAGTTTTCAGTCAGTGCCAAATGTACACAGCCTGGGAAGCACAGACACAGACCGCTGCTTCTGCACCCACAGCTTGCCTCTCCTTGGCTACATGAGCAGAAGCCACAGAGTATCCTGGAAGGTGAATGTGTGTGTATGAAATGGTTCATAGTTTGAGGGAACCCAAAGAAGGCTCACAGATGACCCTGAACCCAATAGAAATGGCACCCAATGGCCCAGGTACAGTGGCTTAGCCTGTAATCCCAGCACTTTGGGAGGCCTAAGGCAGGTGAATCTCCTGAGGTCAGGAGTTCAAGACCAGCCTGATCAACATGGAGAAACCCAGCCTCTACTAAAAATACAAAAAAGTTAGCTGGGCCTGATGGGGGTGCTTATAATCTCAGCTACTTAGGAGGCTGAGACAGAAGAATTGCCTGAACCCTGGAAGTGGAGGTGCAATGAGCTGAGATTACACCCCGGCTCTCCAGCCTGGGTGACAGAGCAAGACTCTGTCTGAAAAAAAAAAAAAAATAGACAAAAGAAAGAAATGGCAACCCATGTTTTCCTCAGTGAAGGAATGAGGTGTCCCAGGGCATAGGAAAGTAGAGACTGAAATTTTCCTTTTCTCCCCAGTAGTAAATGGCTGGGAGGGCTGGTTAATGAGTGGCTTCACCTTTCAGGGTTTTGTCTGTCATCTATAAGACAGGGATGGGACAAATCAGATTGTTTGATGTTTGCATTGCAGAAGTAGCAGCAGGGGGTGAACCAGGCAATCATTGCATGGTAGGAAGGATGAAATGAGATAATGTATGTTAAAGTGTCTTGCAAACTACAAAGCAAAGCTAAATGAAGCAGAAGAGAGTCCTCCAAAATAGACTTTATTATATTTAAGATTTATTTTAACAAAGCAGCAGGGAAGCAAAGGATTATTCAGTAAATGGCAATTGAATGGCTGGTTAGCATTTTGGAAAGAAAAATAAATCAAGACCTGTAACTCAGAATATTGGTCAAAAGAAATTCCAGATGGATAAAATGATTAAATGCAACAATAAAATGTTAGGAAAACCAGATGAGGAATTTGATATGCTCTAGATCTGGGGGATTTGAGAGGGGGCTCCCTACACTGAAAAACAGTAAAAAAAAAATTATAAAAAAGGAATATACAATTTTGATGACATTTAGTTAGAAACTTCTGCAGTCAAAATAAGGTAGCCCAAATGGGAAAGAAAATAATATTTTCAACAAATAAGGCAAGGGCAAATAACTATGCTAAATAAAATGCTCCCAAATACTTATTTTTAAAATGACACCATTAATAACTGATAGAAATAATACAGGCGAATGATGAATATGTGTCCAAAGAGAAATACTACTAGTAAATTCATGAGGAAAAATGTTCAAACTTGAACATTTAAGAATCAAAGAATCAAAGAAAAGCAAATATGAACAAATTAGCAAAAATAGATAATGCCTGATATTTTCAAAGCTGTGAACAGACTAGACATTTCTAAATTTCTAACTGCAGTTAAAGTCAGTGTAAAGTTTTTGAAAACCAATAAACATAAAAGTTTTCTAGTTTTGACCTAGTAATTCTACTTCTAGAAATACAATTTAAAGAATATTTTTAAAGAGTGAAAGGATTATATTTCTAAAAGTATATGCAGTAGTGAAATATAAGAAATAAACTGCAAGGCTGGGAGTGGTAACTCATGCCTGTAATCCCAGCACTTTGGGAGGCCTAGCAGTGTGGATCATCTGAGGTCAGGAGTTGGAGACCAGCCTGGCCAACATCATGAAATTCTAACTCTACTACAAATTTTAGCCTGGCAGGGTAGCATGTGCCTGTAATCCCAGCTACTTGGAATGCTTAGGCAGGAGAATTGCTTGAACCCGGGAGGCAGAGGTTGTAGTGAGCTGAGATCTTGCCACTGCACTCCAGGCTGGGTGACAAAGCAAGACTTTGTCAGAAAGAAGAGAAAAAAAGGAAAAGAAAGAGAGAGAAAGAAAACCTGCAGATATCACTCAACATTTAAGTAATTAACCAAATACTCTTCCTACATACATAAAATATTATAAAGACTAACAATGTGGAAAGTGTTTGGTACGCTACTAAGCGAGAAAAAAAATGTGCTTTCCTAGAAGCCTCCATTGACTTTTTAAATCTCATGAGCCAGTATTGGGTCATATGTTTATGTCTAATGAAATCATTAGGAAGAATAATGAAATGACTATAATTGACTTTGAACAACCATTTTGGAGAATAAGTAATGGGTGATACTGAAAAGCATAAAAGAATGAGGACCATCACATGATGTTGTTAGGGACAGAATAAGTACTCAACATGTAAGAGATGGATGTGATATATAAGACAACAAATAGAAATTAGGTGTAATTAGAAAATTGGGGGATTAAAGGAATGACTGGTTGCTTCAGTAAGATGTAAAAAATCATTCTCTCCCATCTCTAAGGAAAAGAAAGAAACAGGGAGGAAAGGAAAGAAGGAAGGAAGAAGGAAGGAAGGAAGGAAGGAAGGGAAGAAAGAGAAGAGGGAAGGAAGGGAAGGCAAGGAAGAAAGGGAAGGAAGGGAGGAAGGGAAGGAAGGAAAGGAAGGAAGGGAAGGAAGGAAAGGAAGAAAAGGAAGGAAGGAAGGGGATTGAGGAAAGGGGGAGGAAGGAAAAAAACAGGAGATGAAGAAAGGAAGGAGTGAAAACAAAGAAAGAGAAAACATTACTTCCATATATTATCAATCTTAGAAAAAGAAGCCATGGTATCCAACCCCCTCTACATAAAATAAAGACTTTCATCTTCATTTTTTCAATTTACAGATGGTATCAGGAATAAAAGGCCTCATACTCTTCTAAGAAGATAGTTGAAAGGCTTAGAACTTTCCTGTGAAGCTTAAAAAGCAAGCAAGCAAGAAAGAAAAAGTGAGGCACTCTCCAAAAAATGCAATACAAGGCCCAATCTGATCCAAAGTACAGTAGGTAGACCTCTACTCTTTTCACGTGCAGTGTACCAGCTAAGCCATGATGAGAGACCAAAAAAACTGGAAAGGTGTAACAGTCAACCAGAAGTCTCAACGAAGAGCACCTCTCCTCAAGAGAACTGAACTTGAAAGAAAGAAAGAAAGAAAGAAAAAAGCTCAGGGAAGATCAATTCAAACCAGCCAACCTCTCTAGAGATGGAACATCAGAGACCTGGGTAGACATTGGAAAATGCCTCTTCTTGACAATTTATTTGCAGATGATAATCCATTTTTATATTCCTCCATGAGCCCACATTTCTGGAGTGCTTTGTGATGAGGTTTAGGGAGGAAAGCAACACATGTGTGGTAATCACTGGAAGGAAGAGTCTAGGTCTGCGAACAGGCATACTTCTCTGCTGGCTCCACTGAGGCTGTGCAGCCATCTTTCCTAGAAGAAAGTTGATAGCTACTTTCATTGATTATCTACACAGATTCTTTTCAGAGCAAGGAAATATATCAATTAAACCTTTCAGAAATTGGATTTCCTGGTTCTTTAAGTCAGTGATGTGAATTATCACCCTGTCTGGGCATCACAGAGATGGATTTCCTCCACTGATACACAGGAAGCTGTGACCAGGTATCCTAGGGAGAGAATCAGCTCACCCACTGGCCACCCGACTTTACTGCCAGTGATGATAGGAAATAAAGGGGTTTCACTGCCACTAGTTTTGAATGTAAAAATTAAAGTACAAACTCAGTACTCTCACTTGACAAAAAATAAAGATGGGGAGAAGTTTCTTTTATGTTTCAGAAAATTATTACATTTTGGTGAAATGCTTGGAGGTATAATATGAGCTGGATAATTTTCACAGCATTTGATGTAGCAAACATTGTGGGGCTTTTCCATGACACGTAATCAGTATTAACCCAACATTTATAAAATAAAAAATGAAACCAAGTTTCTCACCAGGAAAATTGGTTTCCATTCAACAAGATGTCTTACAGCATCCTTATAATTTTTAGGTTTCAGTTCTCAGTAGTCCCTTTAACTACAAGGGATGAAGTTAAAATAAAGAACCCTTGGTATCCCCTCACAGGATGTGTACCAAAATATTAGGAGAGTATCTGACCCCAAGTAAATAAATATTTAATGATAGCCATTGGTTTGGTATTTCTTCTGCCCCCTTTTTGATTATAAAAAACAACAGACAGTGCTCGCTTCGACAGCACATAGTATACTAAAATTGGAACAATACATAAAAGATTACCAAGGCCCCTGCACAAGAATGACAAGCAAATCCATGAAGCTTTCTATATTTAAAACAAGCAAACATTGCTGGCATATTTTATTTTTCTCTTCTAAGTAGCTTTACAGGTCAACCCTCTTCCTAATATTGTATTTAGTATAAAATTGATTGTAACATGTCTGAGAACAACATAAATTAATGCTATTGATACTATATAAATTTAAGACATTGTATGAACTAAATAGGTTTAGATACAATCCCTACCCTTTAATAGCATATAACTGAACAAGGGAACTAAAACATACACTTATAAAACCAACATACATAGATATATATATGATTATGTTGATGCTTGTCAAAACTTAATCTTCTACCCATAATTCATATCAAATACATTTAGTAGCCTTGTTGAAATGCATGTGCCTAGGTCCCCTCTCAGATTGATTAAATAAAGCATTCAGGAGAATGGGGCCTAGGAAGTTGCATTTTGGAGCTACTCCAAAGCTTGGAAATTTTTGCAGGATATAAATCTACCAGAAAGTATTAAGGACTAGATGTTCTCCAAGGAATTAGTGGCAGAAGGAGATCGCAGCTCATTGAGGTAATCAGGAAAGGTGACTGAATATGTGAGATTTGAACTTAGTTTTGAATAACAATTCATATTTTGGCAGTGGTAAGAACACAAGATCAAAAAGTAACATTAAAAATATGTTGATGGGAAAAGAAAGCCAATGGTTTTGGCTAACATTGAGAAGTTCTTACAGAAGAAACTAGAAAAATCTTTTTAAAAGATTCTTGAATGCCTAATCACCATCCCAAAATTGCTCTAATTTTCAAAACAATAGGTAGGTAAAGATATAGTTATAAGTAATACAATTACATTAATAAAGTATGGCTCTCTCTCTCTCTCTCTCTCTCTCTCTCTCTCTCTCTCTATATATATATATATATATATATATATACACATAGATTGCACTTTAGGTTTTGGGGTATATGTGAAGAACATGCAGGATTGTTGCATAGGTACATACATGGCAATGTGGTTTGCTGCCTCCATCCCCATCACCTATATCTGGCATTTCTCCCCATGTTATCCTTCCCCAACTCTCTACCCCTCACTGTCCCTCCACTAGTCCCCCCACAACAGACCCCAGTGTGTGATGCTCCTCTCTCTGTGTCCACATGTTCTCATTGTTCAACCCCTGCCTATGAGTGAGAACATGCAGTGTTTGATTTTCTGTTCTTGTGTCAGTTTAACAAGAATGATGGTTTCCAGAAAGATTGCAAATGTTTCTGAATTGATGGGATGAAGATAACCTTAACAGAGCACCCACTATACTAAAAATGTACATATACATGTGTGTGTGTGTGTAATGTCGAAATCTCTCAAAATTACTTTTCCTAAGTACTATGCCAGCCCCAAAGAAACCAGGAGTTTTGTAAGAATTACAAAAATAAATTTTCCTGCTCCTAGAACTGCCACAGTGGCCAATAGATTCTCTGCTTTCTATTGTAATTCAAAGAAGCTGATGTGTATTCTGAGTCCTCATTCAAACACATTTATTCTCTTTATGAGAGGGGAAAGAAAGCAACACAAGTCTATTCTTTGTTTCTTCTTTTTTCAAATTGACACATAATAATTGTACATATTTATGAAATGTGATATTTTGATGCATTCATACAATGTGTGATGACGAAATCAGGATAATTAGAAAATCCATCACCTCAAACATTTATCGTTTCTTTGTGTCATGCAAGTCTATTCTAATCCCGAAAGTTAAACTCCCATCCCACTGGTTGCCGGGTAAGGGAAACAAGCTGAAAAGTTAACTGTTGGAAAATCTGGCACAGTGTATCTACTTCCTACTTTGTATTTGTATTAGCAGGTGAGTTTCTACCACTGCCTTTTTCTGTGAAGGTGAAACCTGATGTGAGCCGCATCTCCATTCCTTCTAGTGCCCTGCTGGTGGCAGCAGGAGAGCGAGTACAGGTAATTCACAATAAGGTGTTGGGCAGAGGAAGGCTGTCAGATCCAGGGAAAAGCATACCATGCTGTTTAAAAGATCTGGTCCCTGATTGGGAATGCCTCACTGTTTCTTTGAAGACTTTCACCTCAAGGTGAAAGCCAAGATCTAAGTAAATAAAAGAGGAAAGGAAAAAGAAGGAGACTGCAAGAAACTGAAAGAACAGAACAGATTGCAATATTTGAACTTGGAGAATGCTGTAAGTTCTAAATTAATAGGACCATAATTAAAAATAGATTTTGCATAGTAAAGTTCAAGTAAGATCAAGGATCCAAGAGAAAAAATATATATGGGTATCCGGGGCTTAACCTACACCTTTGAAAATGGTTTTATCCAACATTTTTCTTGTATCAACATGAAGCATAAAAGCCCAGAAGAACTCAAAGGGATGTGGTACAAAACAACAGGCCAAAAACTGAAGTGTAAAGAAAGTGGTAAAATGAGTAAGGAATGAAATATGGGTAGAAACTGAAGAGTACCAAAGATGGAGTTGGTAAGAATGAGAATGCAGTGAAAAGGAGTAGGGTGGGGTGGGGGTAGGCAAGAAATTTTAGTTAATGGCAAAACACACCTGAAGAACACTCCACAAATAAAGAAACAGCTTCTGAGCTTTTCTCTCTCTCCTGTGATGATTATGCCATTTTTGCTGCACCAGAATGAGTGAACATCATCATAGCAAGATCTTTTTCTTCGGCAGCTCCCACTGTACATCCAGTTTCACTTCCTGCTGATCTTTCTTCTGCTTCCTTTTAGGACTTGAGATATATTTTGTAAAACTTCTGAACATAATTATCCACAGTACCAGAATTGTTGGGAGCAACTGCTTTTCCAGGGAAAGTTCTGCATAGTTGTTGTTTTTCAGACATATCGGCTCTAGAGAGTGTGCCTAACTTTGTCCTGTACTTCTTTCTGCTATTTTGTTCACCTGCATATTCAAAGTAAACCCGAGTCTGCCTTTTCACTTAAGAAAGACTGCCTTTCTCAACACAATAGGATAAAAGCCGAACAAAAAACAACCAAAAACCTCTTGAGCTTGCTTCCAATTTCTCTATGTGATATAGGTAGATGAGAGATGCTGAGGGGATAGTGATCAATATATCCTGCTTCATTATTATATTGATACTGAATTATTATTATATAATGCATATATTATTATGCAAGTAAAGTAAAATTATTATTAAAACTAACTGTTTTTCAGTCTTACTGTAAGCCAGGCACTATTCTAGGAGCTTTTCATTTATTAGCACATTTAGCCAAAATAAAACTAGGAGGTCAATGTGATAGTCTTATTTTACAGATGTGAAAACTGGCTTATAAAAAAATTAAGTTTGCCCAAGATTACTCAGCTAGAAAGAGGTGGAGCAATAATTCTAACCCAAGTTTTACAGTCTCAAATCCTAGTAACTTTACTTTTACAAAATAAGTGGGACATATATGTATTTATACAACCCAAACACAGAAGCAACACATACGTAGAATTTTGATTTGTGTACAATGAGCATTCTTTGTTCAGCCAAGTAAAAAGTTTATAGAAAACAAACCCAACAGACATCAGAGATTTGATTTCAGTTTGGAAGCACCAAGTGCTAATGGAGTGACAATAGGACAAAAATAGTCACAAAAAGGGTTAAGGACCACGTTATTTTCAGCAGCTTTGATCTGAATGGGTGCCCTGAGTGCTTATCACATAAGTAAACACTGGAAAGAAGAAAACACTCAAGAAATTTCATGAGTATGGGGGAAGGAAGTCCACTGATATATGGGGCGTGAGTTGACAAAGGACTGAAATGCCAAGGAAAGCTTCATTGGAAAGGTTGGCTATGGGATTCCAGGATATCAGAGCTGAGATAGGGGTATCTTTTGAGGTCTTCTGTTCATTAGAGCCAATCGTTTCTTGCACGCCCCTATGGCCTATCTATTGGTTACTTTGCTTTCATGTATGAGAGGGTGCCAAAATTGACCCTGAGAATAAACTCCAGTTGGTATTCTGTGTCCATTGGCAATTGTCTCAAGTCTTCCTCCCTAAGGTTTCAATTACAGAAGATAGTGTTAACTTTTCATAGGCTACAATTTAACATCTGCTCCTGCCAGGTTTATTTCATCTGGCCTGGGAGAAATAACGTAAGTAACACTTCCCCTCTCCCCTGCTCTGCCTGATGAAATGGGATATAAAACAGAATGGTGGCAAGGAAGAAAACATATTGAAGTTCCTCTACCTTTGCTGGATTAAGTATTCAGAGATCAAAGACAGTATTAACAGAACCTTAATTAGGTGATAGAGAAAAGAATATTGATGCACTTTTTCTTCTTTTGATGGGGTACAGAATATGTTATGTGTCATTATGTAACTATCATCAGTCCCATTGTTTACAACTGGACTACAAAGGCTGCATGAATAAGGCTTGAAACAAAAAATAAAAATAGTAACTAGAAATAATAGATGCAACTAAATATGGTGTAAAAAAGCAATAACTGTAGGATCTTTCACTAATCCTTACTCCCATTTCTAATAAACTTAATGGGAAGTTGTAATATGTATCCTTTAGAAATGCATAGTAGCAGCCCGGTGGATGTGAGACAGAGGTGCATAGAAGGGACTCTTGCTGATTTTGCTGTCTAGACTAGGGCTTACATTGATTAGTTTTTACAAAAATAATGAAAGAAGACCTGGCCAGTAAAAACAGAATTAGCTAAAGGAAGGCTTTGGTACCCAAATGCAAGTTAAATGCCTGCAACTCCGGGAAGAGAATGGGTTATTGGTTATTTGATTTTTGTTGTTGTTGTTGCCTGTCCATAAGTAATAGAAAATAGTTGACCATATCCTGTGACTTTAAACTATCAAAGTTTTCCCCCAAATATTGTTTCTCAAACTGTACTTGTTGAGACAAGAGAGAGGTTCCTAGGCTGTTTCCCTTAGCTAGAGGGATGAAAAATAAAAGTGGAAGTGATAAATTAAGACAGAACGCCTGGCATTTTTAAGAAAAATTACTAATAGAATCTTTTAAAAAATTATCTCTTGAGGAAGTAAAATTTTAGGTTAAGGAAGAGCT